AAGCGTCACAGAATCTAGGATAGCGCTTTCTCAGATTTTTCTCTTTCATGATGTTCTCTCCCTCCACAGGGACCCTTGCCTCCCCACCCCCAGCTCCTCCTCCCCCACCCCGTCGATGGGTTTTGGGGCTCGGGTTGGGGTTTTTGTGGGACACAAGGATTCTGAGCCCACCGGGGCGCCCCTGGCTTGGGGTCTGGGGTCCCATCCAAGGCCTGGTCAGGGCCCTGGGCCTTGGGTGGGGGTGGGGGGGCCGACAGGGGCCCAGGACTAGGGTGGGCTTTAGTTTTCCTCCCCTTGCTGGTTTCTGTGAGTCTTTCAGACAAGACCTTAAATGATTTCTGTCCACTCTGAGTGGACATTAAAATGGTCCCCATCCCCGCCCCCACCCTCCTTCCTCAGGGCACTTATTAAGTGGGGGTCTCCCCCCCTCGATCTCCCCAATGGCCGCCTTGCCCCCGTCCCTGCCCGTGGTACCCCTGTGTCTCCTGGCCACTGCGGCGCAAGTGTATTTATTTCCAGGTGTGGGGAAAGGGGGTAAGACGAGGGGAAGAGGGGGGCGCCAGGGTGGCTCCCAGGGGCTCCTGCTGCCTTCCCTCACGGCACTTACACCCGCGGGCCACCGCTCAGCACTCCCGCCGCCCCAGGCTGTGTCCCCGGACCCAGGCCACCCAGACCCTCGTGAGACGTTTGGAGATTTAAAATTATCTTCGCCCCCTTTCCTTAGCCCTCTCCCAATTTTTAAAAGCACTTTTTAGATTGTTTTTCCCTCTTTTCCTCCTGAAAAACAAAATTTATATATATAGAGATATATATATATATATATATTAAAAAAATATACTTTTCCTCCGAGGAGCAGGAACAGTGTGGGGTGAAACAGTCGAGGGCAGAGGGAACCCAGGGTCTCAAGGTGGCAGGGATGAGGGGGAGAGAATCCAGAAGTTCCAGCGTCACAAAAGCAATAAAAACAAGATTTCACAAAAGGAGAGGGAAGGAAAGATCACCAACCACAAGTAGAAGTCTCGGCACTTTGTAACAGAACGGGTACTACACTTTATCTTAATTTAAAAACATGTTTACAAGTTGCAACCAACTTCTATGAAAAGTCGAAAAGACAAAAAAAAAAAAAAAAAATGAGAGCGAGAGCGAGCGAGAGAGAGCGAGAGAGAGAGCAAAAAGAAATTCCTAAAAGTCGATTTATTTTTGTACAAAATAATAAAAAAAAAAACCCACCACCAGACGTAGAATCCACTTCTGTTCCCACAGGTGAGAAGTGGGTCAGGAAGGCCGAGGCCGAGGGCAAGGGCGAGGGCGAGGGCTTCGGAGGGCGTTTGTGCTTCACCGCTGGGCTTGCCCGGCAGGCAGGGCTGTGGGATTTTTGTGTTTCTGCCGTGTCCCCCACTCCCGTTCTGTCCCTTTTTTGGTTCCGATTTAAGAAATGTCTCATCCCTGCTAGCCATACAGTGGCCACCCATGTCCGTGGGGACCCTCCTTGCTGACTGCCCAGCTCAGGGATGGGCCCGAGAGA